ACCCAAGGAGGTCGACCACCCCTCCTCAAAGAGTACGTTAAGCTTTTGGTGGTCTGCCTGAAGATGACATCAGTTCTCCCAAAAATCTTACAGGCGAAAATGACGGGCATGTCCCTAACGTAAGCCTACCAAGCATAGGCAAGGCTAAGCTTGCTTTGAACTGTAACAGTATGGCACACATCAGCTTAAACTCCAAGAGGAATGTTCTTTCACGCAAGAAAATGATGCGAACAAGGAATCTTCGAGAGAACAAATTCGGATGGAATGGTTGATCATTAGTTGCCTCGTGGTCAGCCTACTAGCCATGATTATATTATACTGTATGAAATGAAGAGAAGATTTTTTAACCCATTTCCCAAGAACTGTCGTTTTGTCAAATTTGATTGCCACGTGGAAAAACACACGTCCATGTCAGCAAACATAGCATATTATCGCATGTGTTGGTGTGAACAATGTCAAGCAATTGAAAATATCACATTGCAAAACTGATCGATTTTCTCAGTAAACAAACGCAGGAAAATGAATCTCACTATTGGGTGTTCTGACCTGCAAAATGCAAATGACTAAACACAACCCAAGCTGTAATAGATGAGTTAAGAATTGCCACCCCCACCATTTTAGATGAAGTTGTATATGTCCAAATCCCTCCCCACCCCCAAATAAAACTTGCACCATTCTCCCCTCTCACTACATGACAGGGCTGTCTTTTTCTGTTGCCTTCAACACATTTGTTTTGCAACCAGCACTTTTATTTAGATATGTGACCATAACTGCATTGAGTAATTATTTTATCTCTAAAACGAGGAGAACTAGGAACTGGTGGATCATAAGCCACTTGGCTGAACTTTTAACTGTATATTATGTTACTTCTGGACCAATTTTATCCAGGTCAGACAGGTTTCAGTCTGCATTGTATCTCTCCTTAGGTTGGTACATCAAAGAGAGAGAGCACTTAATTTTGTACAAAATTAGAATGCTGAATAACAAATGAAAAAGGAGAATGGTGTTTCAAATAATGAATTACTTCAACCACTAGAGACTGGCCACTCAAACTCCAATTTAGCAGGAATTAACTTGAATATATTTTCATAACCATGGCATGACTACCAAAATAGCTTGAAGATCACTGGTGGAAGGGGTAACCATTTGACAATTCTACCAATAATCCCTGCAAGAACATCTGCCCTCACTAAAGTGATGAAAGCAGTTTGAATCTCTCAAGATAATATGCCGTTGAAAGACTCTTGATATGAACTTTATAGCAGTGTGACAGTCCCCACAGACACGGAGGTTCTTGAAAATCCGAATAGGTGCTCCACGAGGCACACTGAGAAGCCCAAAAGCAACAGCCAACTTCTCACTGTGGTAGGTGAGGCCAAGCTCCTTACCCTCCTCATCCATGTCATGGAGTGCAAAGTTCATGTCTGGCACATATCCAGCTTCCTTAATTAAGCTCATGATCTCATCAACCTTGGAGTATATCTCTGACATCCTTGAATGGCTCCTATCTTCAGCTGTAAAGGTATGCACTTTGCTGTTGATCTCCATCCAACTACATCCTGGCTCTTTACAAATTCCTCTTGACTTCATCAGTTTCCGTATGCTCGCAGCATCATCCCATCTACCAGCTGCAGAAAACATATTACATAGAAGCACATAAGGCACAGCATTTGCAGGTTCCAATTCAAAAAGGTTCATTGCTGCCCTCTCGCCCAGTTCCAAGTTTCCATGGATTCTACATGCTGCCAGCATTGCCTTCCATACTGTTGCATCAGGTCTGATGGTCATTTTTTCAAGAATCTCCTTTGCTTTGGCAATTTTTCCAGATCTTCCAAGAAGGTCAATCATACAGGCATAGTGTTCGGGTCCTGGTGTTATGCCATGAACATCACCCATGGATTCAAAGTAACGGCAACCATCCTCCACAAGGCCTGCATGGCTGCAGGCAAATAGCAAGCCAATGAAAGTAACATAATCAGGTCTTATTCCATTTAGGATCATCTGGTCATAGAGCTTTAAAGAGTGTTCACCCCTACCATTCTGTGCATGGCCAACAATCAAAGCCGTCCAAGAAACCACATCCCGCATCAGCATCGAATCAAAGACTTGATGAGCATCCTCTATGCACCCACATTTTGCATACATGGTAACAAGTGAATTATCTACTGACAAAGAAGACTTGAGGCCACATCTAATAAAGTTTGCGTGAACTTGCCGTCCAAACTCCAAAATTGTTAGTTCAGCACAGGCACTTAAAATACTGGCAATGACAAATTGATCTGGATCAATGCCCACAATTCTCATGTTACAGAACAGCTTGAGTGCATTTTCATAGAAGCCATGGTGTGCATAGCCAGTGATGAGTGAAGTCCATGAGACAACATCTTGTTCAGGCATTCTGTGGAACACACTGAAAGCGCAATTTAAGTTACCTTGCTTTGCATACACATCAATGAGAGCATTGCTCACATGTTTGTAAGCCTCAAAACCAGTTTTTACAATCAAACAATGAACGCACTTGGCATGTTCTACATCCATAACGGAAGCAAGTGAGTTCAGTACAGATGGATACGTGAAATCATCAATCTTCATATTTCTCATGTGCATTTTCTTAAACAAGGATATAGCTTCTCTTTCAAACCCCTGCCTCACACACCCAACAATCAAAGAATTCCAAGAAACAATATCTTCGACCTCCATACTTTCCAACACTCTCCTTGCACTATTCAAGTCTCCACATTTTGCATACATGTCAAGCAATGCACTTTCAACAAATACGTTGACCCCAAAACCAGTCCGAATTATGCAACCATGCACCTGCATTCCAAACCAACGTTCCAAAAGTGCTGCACAAGCGGTCAATACACTCGGAAAGGTAAACTGGTTTGACCTAACACCTTCTGCTCTCATGTCTCGAAAACACTGCATTGCTCTAAGCTCATAGTTGTTTTGTGAGTACCCAGTAACCATAGCAGTCCACAAAACATGGTTTTTTTTATCAGGCATCATGTTGAATAGATACTCTGCATCCAAAATTTGCTGACACTTGGCATACATGTCGACAAGCCCTGTGACAACAAAAATGTCTAAATCAAATCGAGTCTTTATCGCATGGGCATGAATCTGTTCCCCTCTTCGAAGCATAAAAGAGACTGAACATGCACGAAGGACGCTGCCCAGCGTATACTGATTCGGCTGCAGCCCATCTGACCGCATTTGGCAAAATAATTCAAGCGCTCCCAGCCCATCCCCCTGACGAGCATGACCAGAAATGAGGGCGGACCAAGTGATTGAAGTCTGGGTTGGAGTTTGATCGAAGAGCTGTCGCGCCTCGGTTAGTCGACCCAATCTGGCATACGCGGAGATCATGGTGTTCCAAGAGAAATCATCCCGACATGGCATTTGGTCAAACAATTGGCGAGCTTCATCAACCCGCCCCGATTTAGACAAATCATCCAAAAGTCGATTTGAAACAAAAATGGAGGGAAAGGAAGCAGCAGTAGAGTGGAGAGGGAATTGAGTTTGTTGGACTGAATCTAGGTGGATGCGTTGGAGACATGATTTGAGAGGAGAGCACAACGGTCGACAACGCAATCTGTTCATAACCCCCTTTCCCGCCTTTTCTGTTCCTAGCGCTGAGGGAGTAGAGTTCCAACTTCCAACTGCCAAGCTAAGTGAGCCCATTAAAATTGGACACACGCACAATTGTTGACCGTCTGATCTCAACTGCCTTTGAAAATCGTAATCCTCATCCTACTCGTCATCTTTATCATATAATTTTGTGTTCATCAATCATATAATGCCGATCCGATGCTTGGTCTGGCTTCACGTCAACGCGACAATCATATAATTTTCTTAGTTTTCATAGTTTATAAAAATTTAAAAATGATACATAAACATAAATTAAATCTAAAATAAAAATACACTATATAGTAAATAGACATGTATGTATACACAAAATATGGTTACGTGATGAACCATTCGACCCAAACGGATGAACCACTGACCGCCACCGAGAGGAAAAAACGGGTCAACCTCCGCCTCAATAGCATTTTGTTTAAATAATTTATTAGGTAAATTATTGCATGCAAGGGCTTGGCAGTTGGCACGAACATGTCCAACTTGGCGTCTTTAGGAGGGCAGTGACGCACATGCGGTCAAGGTTTTTCATTCTTTTTATTTTTTAATTAGTAATTAATTAGGAACATAGATATAAATACATAATTAGGTTAATTAATGGAGAAAACGTGACGCATCTTACAATCCTTCCTCTAATGGGCAGCCACATAGATATTGCCATGATTTGGACTTAATGACGGCCATTTTACCATTTTTTTTTTTAATTTTTTCGGATAGGCAATAGCCATTTTAGCTGACGACGCATCAACTTCCACTAATTAAACCTGCATTACCGAAAAAAAATCAAGTTTGTGTTTGTTTGTCGATGTTTAGTAGTTGGGCGATCTTTGTGTTTGTTTGAAAGAGTTTGTAAGGAATTATTTTTCCCGGTGTTTTCAAAATCGGATTGGATCGGAAAAATCAGGAATCGGTTATTCGATTGGTTCCGTTTCACTCGAAAATTGTTTATTGGCAAAAAAAACCATTGATTTTGATCAATAAATCGCTGACCCAGCCAAAAATTGTTCTTGAAAACATTCCACTTTTATCATGGAGCATTTCTCAGAGATGAAGACATGTAGGTCTGCTTCTGTCGAATTTACTGCCATGTAGTTCCCTTGTATGCAATTTGAGAGAGAGAGAGAGAGAGAGAGCCTCAGTGCAAAGAATGAAAAGATATGGTGATAATGGGCAGCCTTGTCTAAGACCTCTAGATGGCCTCAAGTCATTTTCCATACTTCCATTTAACATAACTGCAGAACTAATGTTGGAGATGCACCGGTAAATCAAATTACAAAAAGTAGAAGAAAACCCCAAAAATTGAAGAACATGCATAGCAAAGTTCCATCCTAATCTATCATAAGCTATTAAACTTTGCTTAGGTCAAGCTTTAGCATGAAGTACTATATCTTCCCCTTTTGCCTTTTCATGGCAAACCACTCAGTTGTTAGTGTAAAAGCTGATTGGTAGGGAGAGATAAGTTTAGGAAGTAAAGCCCAGAGCGCCACAATTTTATATATAGGCCACAATGCATAAACCAAACATAACCTCTCATAAGGAGATTTAAAATAGTTATTCAGATTTTGTCAATACACCCTATGCTAGTTTTTTTTATGCGTGTATGTGTGTGAAGTCAAAAGCAAAAAGAATTTCATTGCATCAAGATAGTGATTCGGAGGACAGGGAGATGTGGCTCCAAGGGTTGGAGATGCCCATCATTTTACGTAGAAAATAAACTATAAGCCCTTAAACAAGGCATTAAGGTGGATGAGGTATCCCATTCCTAATAAATAGGACCTAATAAATCGACTATATGATGTAGAAATATTCTCTAAGTTCAACTTAAAGTCAGGATACTGGCAAATTATAATCAATGAAAATGGCAGATATAAAACGGCATTTACAATTCCCTTTGGACATTACGAATGTAATGTAATGTAATGCCTTTTGGTCTAAAAAATGCTCATTCAGAATTTCAGAATATTATGAATGAAATCTTTACTCCATACACTCAATTTACCATAGTGTATATAGATGATGTGCTGATTTATTCTCCATCCTTGAAATCCCATTGGAAACATCTGAACATCTTCCTACGAGTGATGAGGGAAAACGGTTATATATATATAAATACGATTGGGATGCTCTCTCTCTGCAGCAAATAGTAGATTCCCACGTGAGAGCACCCCTATCTTACTAATTACAATAACAGTAGTTACTGTTATTAATTATTGTAATTACTATTATTATTATAACAGTTATTAATTACTGTTATTATTAAAATAGTAATTACTGTTACTGATTATTATAGTAATTTAATAAATATATAATTAGTGATTATAATTAATAATTACTATTATTATAAATATTGTTAATAAATAGATATTTACTTTAATCTTACTTTAAATTAAAATTATAAATATTGTTAATAAATTTAGTAATTATTGTTATATTAAAAATAATTAAAAATGTTATTAAAAGTATTGTTATTGATTATTTAATAAAATATTATAATTACTATTATTGATAAATATTGTTAATTTAATTTAATTTTGGTAATTATTAATTTATTGAATGTTGTTATTAAATCCTATTCATAAATTTAATATTTACTTTTGTATTAAAAATAACTAAATAATATTATTAAAACTATCATTAATGATTATTTATTTAAATACTATAATTACTTACTATTAATGATAAATGTTGTTAACAACGTTATGACAACCAACAGTTCGACCGTCCAGTTCGAATGGATGGCCCGTTCTGACAACAAAAAATTACATGAAAAAAATTACAGAACCATTATGGCCACCGGTTTTTGGGTCGACAATTTGATCATTCGATTTGAATGAATGACCCATTCTCACAACAAACAATACAAGCAAAAAATTGAGTGTGTGAGGTCCATTAAGCAGTACCATACGTGTTATGTCATTCGAGCATGTGACTCATATGACCCGAAAATGGAACCATTCTGGCCTGTTCTGACAACAAAAATTAAAAAAAATAAAAAATGGCCAAAAACGATTGAATGAGTCAACGGGTTAATGGTTCGACCACTTGGGTCAATGGGTTGTTGACTGATTCAACGGTTTTTGGCCAGGGACCGGGATTGGGGTAAAATGGAACTAGTTGCCTGGATGGTACCCAATTAAAAAAAAAGGACCACCCATTCTGACAAAAAAAATTATAGGCAAAAAATTGTGTCTGAGGTCCATTAAGCAGTACCATACATGTTATGTCATTCGAGTGTGTGACTCATACGACCTGAAGACGGAACTGTTCTGCCCACTGATTTTCCGGCTGACAGTTCGACTGTTCAGTTTGAACGGATGGCCTGTTCTGACAACAAAAATAGAAAAAAAGACCAAAACCATTGAACGGGTCAATGGTTCGACCACCTGGGTCAATGGGTTGTTGACCGATTCAACGATTTTTGGCTAGGGACCGAGATTAAGATAAAACGGAACCGGTCGCTTGGATGGTTCCCAATTAAAAAAATTAAAAAAGGCCAAAAACCATTGAACGGGTCAACGGGTCGACGATTCAACCACTCGAGTCAATAAATTATTGACCGATTCAACAGTTTTTGACCAAAAACCGGGTCAACGAATCAACGGGTTGATGATTCGATTCCAGCCCCTGCGAAGCAAGGTCCCTCCGCTAATTAAGCATTTAAGGCATTTGCCATTTAAAAGTGTATGCATCATATAATAACCAACTACAATTATTTTATCATTGTAATAAAATAATCCATTCTTGCATTGTTAATGCATATTTTATTTGTTGATATAAAGTTTTTGGCCTTTTGTGATTAATATCCCAAGGGATTGATGGTATGGTAGACTTGGTTTAGTTTAGGCAATAATTTATAATTTTATATTATAGCTCTAACCTTAAGCTGATATAGATGATATTATGAAAAACGATTTGATCAATGACTTATGTTGCCCATTTATGTTGCCTTAGGAATGAGCTTTAGGGTTTGTGCTTTCAAAGATAAAAAGCGCAAAACAAGTATTTTTCCTTTAAATATTGTGTTTTTAAAATCAATTTTTGCCATACCAAACATTCAAAATATTTTTTGATTTGCGATCTGGTCGCTACTTGTTAGAAGGCAGTTCGGACGTTAGACTACTATGTGGTTGGGTCAAACTGCAAAGAGATTGTAGAGAGTTGATAGCTTTGAATATAATAGCAAGTGAGAGCTAAATAGTGCGTACCTTTGAGGTTGGAAATGAGACTTTTATATAGGCGTTGTTTGGTGTGGACTTCACGTACCACGTCCAAGATTTCCACGAAAACGTGGCTGGCCGATCCGAAGTCCTCGAAGGTTGTGGCGCACGTAGACTAGGCTTTGTGCCTTATTTGGTTTCCTTCAAAACATTTGGTGTGGGAGCTAATTTCCAGAAGACCCGGGAGTGACGGGATGCACACACGGAGGAGGTTGGTGAGCATGTCTCGTAGGTCACCACCTGGACCTCAATCGAGTCAACAAGTCCTCGAGGGAGGTCGCTCCTTGTGCCGGGGTCCCATGGATAGGTAACGATGAGGTACCCCAAGTTGGCCCTGGACAAGGTGCTCCTAGCTGCCCTATCGAGGTGCCCGAGTTGTGTATGAGGTCGCCAATTGGGACTTCATTAGGTCGGCGGAGGTAGATCACCAGTTAGGTCTCCAATAAGTCAGCAGATGGGTTTCCATCATTTTGGCTAAGGCAAGTTGATGGAGGATGATTTGGCCCGACCTCGTAGCATGGGGACATGTGGGTACAACTTGGCAAAAGTGACAGCTCACCGTGGCAGCCTGGCCATAACTCGGCATATTAAACTCGCTGGAGCCCGGCAATACAACTCGGCGGACGTAGCAGCTCGCCGAGAAGAAACATCTAGCATGCTCCGAATTCTCCCTAACGGAGGAGGACTCCCGAGCTCCTCCCAGTGGGCCCCGAACTCTTCCTTCCTGAGAAGGGAACACCCCGATCTACGAGAAGTATCCCAAACTGGGGACTACTTCGGGATAGCCCCATTAACGCTCCTGCCCATACTTGCCTAAGGCTTGCCTCAAGCACTCGCACCTTGGCTACCCCAGCACCCCGGTGTAGGGTAGCTCGGACCAAGGCAGCTCGGTGCAAAGTAGCTCAGCAACATGCAGAAAAGATCTGCTTGACAATAGTACCAG